CAACTTTCTTGTTTTACGTGCTATACCTTTCCCTATTCTTCATTGTTTTTATGGATTCTGCGTGAAATGTTGCTTCTTTTGACACTCGCATGTCAATATCTACCATTTATGGTCTTTTGTCGTGATATTAGAAGGACGGTGTCCTAGTGAATGTATTATCCAAAACACTGGAACGAAATTGTCAGGATTTTGGAAATAAAACTTTGTGCTATCGAAAACATGTACATTAAAGCAACACCTCTTATTTTTTTTATCCAACACCTCTATGTTATCCAGTCATTATCATGACGAAATTAAACGAGTAAGGTATAATATAACCCACTAATGAGTTATGGACGTAAAATAACTCACTAGCAAGATAAAGTACAGGAACCATAAGTAAATCCATATAAATTTTCTGACTAAATTTTTTGTTGTTTATTATTCCCCATAGCAACGAATTATTGCTTTTGTATTCCATGCACTCTAGCTTTTCGCGGAACACGCAGTTTTTAAGATTTCCACGTTTTAAACCAGCTTGAGGAGGTGTTGGATAAAGTTTTGTATGGTGCATGTGTGTTAATTACAAATAAGTCACTTGAGAAAATAACCCCACTCGGCCTGACGGCCTCGTGGGCTTACTTTTTTCTCGCGTGACTTATTTGTAATATAACACACTTATACCATAAATAACTATTAAGGAAAAGTGGAGGGCTGAAGTCTTCACTTTTCCGTCCTTCGTTTCGCGTACAACTATATGAAAGCTTATGGTTCCCAGATGTGCACAGTGCAATTATCACAAATTTGGCATCCATCAAGTCGTTGCCCAAAATCGGTCGTTATGCGTGCACCAATTTTGTTGAGAAAAAGACTAAACTGTATTGCATGATGCCCAAGAAGTATGCATTTTTGGGTACCAGAACATGTTTAGTCAAAAGATGTCAAGATCGTTATTTATGCATCCATTTTCTTGTGGAAAAGATCAAACTTGCTCGATGCCTAAGTGTGTTTTTGACGAGCACTGTTTTCTACCAAAAAGATGTCAAAAGCGTCATTTATCTCCTCCCCCCCCCCTATTCCAGCACTTCGCTCTCTTGCTTTTTCCGCGTCGTTACACTTCAATAGCAGGTGCTCTTTCTCTCCACAAATTCTGCATTTCCTTTCTTCCTTTATTTTCCCTTGGGTATTTCGGCAACCACTCCCCATCAGCTCCTAACACGTACTGTTTCCTCGTGAACTCTCGATTTTCACCCTCTGTGTATTTATGTCCCTTTTTGTAAATTCACCTTCCATCCTTTTCCCTATTTCTCCCCTCCTTTCGACCTCAGCCCATCCGTATCCATTTATTTCATAATATTTTGTTCTATGTTCCCCCAATTCCCTTTTGTGTTCATCCTTGGTGATAGCATTCTTTTAATTCACTTTCTTTTTCACTCCTTTCCTCGAATCTTGCCGTCTTGCGTCTCGACGCTAACTTTATCTTCTCGATTTTTGTTTTCTCCTCCAATACTCGTATGTAATTTAATTACATACGAGTATTGCTGTCCTTCCGTTTAAACCGAGTACCTATTTCTAATACATGCTTTGTAACCCGTCTATTTCATCCCATTCCTTCCACCCCCCTTACATCAGCACCCCTCCCCCTCACAATTGCATCAAAATTATTTTCTTATTATGAATTGGTTTTTGAATCCCCTCTCCCTTATTCTCCACACCTGTCTCACCGCCACTTCCTCCTTTTTTCTTAGTTCCCCCATGTGAGTATTTGCATCATTATTTCGTTACACCCGGAAAACTAAGCATCATCCTCGCTTTTACGATATACCTCACCATTTTTCCCATCATTTATTTCCTTCATCTGTTCTACTCTGTTGCCATTATTACTGTGTCGTCTACGTATACCAGAAACAATACTTCATCCCACTACGATTCCTATAATTCCGATAATGTTTGGATAATGGGAGCCCGCTTTGCCTTCAATTATTGCATGTATACCGTTTTGTACGCATAATGGACACGACCCATTTATTTCGGTGGTTCCGTTTTGGGCGGGAAAAAATTGTAGTGTAAACAAAAGACGCTGGTCTACTATTGGTTTAAACGGGACGTCGATCGAGGCAAATTCGTTGGTTCCGTTATGGTCTTGATATAAATAGCCAAGCGCATGGCGAGAAGTGTAGTGTCTATGAAAGTGTGCATCTCGTCCGCGCATTTTCGATAGTTACAAAATCAGAATAATTAGTGGCATGATGGGGGACATGAGTCCATGATGTTAGCCTTTAAAGCGATCAGTAGTTCGTTGGAACTTTAATTGCATTAGCGACCAACAAGAGTACTAGACGAATAGACGAAACCCCGGGAGGCGGCTACCCCGGTCCACCGTCTGGTGTAGGACTCTTTCGGGTTGTGTCGTTATTGGTGGGGAGAAGGAGACGTTCTCGCCAGTAATGCGCAACAAACCTACTACTACCCTAAGCTTTCGCCCTTGCTAAAAAAAAAACATATACACGTACGTACATACAGACTTTTTTGGGCTCCTGGGACCTTGAAACTGGTGAAATCTCAAAATCGAAATTTGGAATGATTTCAATATACCTCCCAATTTTTATTGGCGAAGTTAATTATCTATAAGCAATTCCGACGAAAGAAGAAAACAATGAAATTATGTAGTTCCCATACCAACGATATAACAAAAGAAAATTACGGTGTGTTTTGCATCGACGAATCGTAGTAAAGAGCGCGATTTTTGTGGTACGCTTTCCGAATAATCCCGCATTTATTTATAGACCTTCATTAACATCGTGGATGGGAACATATCAACTCAGATCTTTGAGCTAGATTGATCGTTACAAGTATGAATGGAGGAAGCCTATTTACTCTGGGACCAGTAGTATTTTCTTCCACTGCCAACACTGTTGGAGTTTGTCCACTATCTCGAGAAGGGGCTGCAATTATCGAACAACGATGACCTTATAATGTATTTATCACGCAGAAATCTCTGGATCTATACGTTTTCAAATAATGTGGACTAGACACTTTTGTAAATTTGTTTTTAAAAAACAGTAAATCATTGCGGTAATGGATAAGCAATTCAGTATAAAATTAAGTTTCCTATTTTTATGTGTAATTAATGTTTTGAATAAGTTGAATTGTAATTGGTTTCATACCAAAGCTTCGGTTTGCGAACTCATTTTCATTTAGGTTTGACAGTGTACTAGTGCATATCAGAGTTGGACTGGGTCACTGGGTCAACTGGGTCACTAAATTAAACTGGGTCACTGGGTCGCTGGGTCACGTCACACTCTCTTCAGTTAGACCCAGTGACCCAGTTTGACCCAGTGACCCAACTTGACCCAGTTTGACCCAGCGACCCAATTTCACCCGGAGACCCAATTCGACCCAGTAACCTAGTTTGATCGAATAACGCAGTTAAGTCAGTGCCCTCGGTTCAAGTGTACAGATTATGAAATAAATGAAATGCTGGTTTGTTGAAAATAATACTCGATTGCTTGACACCTGCCGTTTCTGTGATGTTTGCTTTAATACTGCCGTAAAAAACTTTCCATGTTCCGAATTGTATTAGAATAATGTTATTTCTAAACAGTTCCCTCCTTCGTTTCTTTGTTTCAGGGCTTACCAGTTTGCTTACAGGTGTTCATTCACATTTAATTAATTTAACTTTTAGTTAGCTTAATCCAAATAAATCTTTTCTCTAAATACTTTCATTGACTACTTGACTACAAACTATAAACAAATGGGCCACCGGGTCAAGACGGGTCACTGAGTAAAGCTGGGTCAAGATGGGTCAAGCTGGGCTACAGGGTCAAGCTGGGCTACAGGGTCAAACTGGGTCACCGGGTCAAACTGGGTCACCGGGTCAAGCTGAGTCACCGGGTCAAGCTGGGTCACCGGGTCAAATTGGGTCACCGGGTCAAATTGGGTCACCGGGTCAAGCTGGGTCACCGAGTCAACTGGGTCACCGGGTCAGTAAACTAACTGGGTCACCGGGTCACTCTATGCTTGACCCAGTCCAACTCTGGTGCATATAAGTACGATTACTATTTAAAACAAAAGAGGTCGTAATATAGGTTAAATTATGATAATTCAAGTCAGATGTAAAAGGTGATCACCTACTAGGAATATACAATATGTATTATATATTTCTTTTCTTTTTTCACGCTATTGAATCGTTAGGATTCCTCGTAAACTTCACTGTGTTTTAAGTATCTTAACCCGAATTATGATAAGAGGGTTAGAATGCTGGTATGTGTACAAAAGCAAATCCGAGGCACGCAATCCAGGATAAAAAAAGGTGGTTTCTTCATTTATTTGCCTTCGCAGGCTTATTGGGCGACGACAATTTGTATGCCTAATATGTGGGTGGTTTTTGCCCATGGCCTCAGGGAACGCGATTTTCAAAAAATGTGGAATAGAAACTTTTGAATTTCTGAAACTACTTTAGAAACAACTACTTTCGTCTCTAAGAACGGTGAAGAAAATGTGATTTTTTGTATCCAGATTGCGATGTGTCAAACTTCATTATTGCATACGATAATTTTTTTGATTTCAGACAAAATTACGTGTAAATTTGAGAAAAAAGTGTTGAAGAACTCAACTTTCTTCTCTAGTTGTAAAAATAACTATTTTGGTATCCAGAACCAAATACATTGGTTCATTTCCAAGCCTCCCATTTTCCACAAGAAACAAAAAATGGAAAATAAGCAGTCAATAAAAAAACTATACAATACAATGGCACAGAAAAGGAAAAAATTTATCAAACTATTTGTTCGAAAAAATTAAAGCGATAAGTATCTATAACCGTAAATCTAATCGTAATTTTATTACCATAACCACCTTATATAGCAATAACGGGCACTCGAACGTGTAAAAGCATTTCATCACCGAGACAAGCGAGCGCCATTTTATTTTCATTCTATCGCTGAATTATGCGTACTAAATCAAGAAAGAATTACAATAACGAGGACTAAAAGAATTAAAGAAAAAAATAAATGACTACTCACATTTGGTACGGTGTAGCTGTTATATTCTTTAGTATTGATGGTCTCCGCTTGCTTATTCTTAAAGGCCCTGTAGTTTTCACGTATCTGCTTGCCATACTGAAACAAGAGAAAAAGATTCGTCAATATTAATGGGAAGCCAAGATTTGGGCATCTCGAACTTTTATAAACTCGAAAAGTAAACGAAAAGTTTAGGCTGGAGAAATTCCTGAAAAAAAATATGACGAAGTTACTCAAAAAGTGTAAGTTAATACTGCAACTTCATAAATATCTATACAAAAGAAGTTTTACTTTTGAGATTGTTTTCTCTTGGCGGTTTTTCTACATTGACTCATTAGAAAAACGATTTCCTTTCTGTCGCTTTTTTGACTACAGATTATGTACTATATAAAGTGTTTTTGGGTGTGCGCTTTCCGCAAATTTGTATAATTAATTTTAAAACAGGACGCGAAAAACCTATTTTCACAAAATGCGTCCCAATTCCATTCTTTTATGTTTTGCCAGCGAAAGCGAGTCAACTTGACGCGTAATCGACTGTCAGTAACAAAATGTACGTATTTTCAACGAAAGCGAAAGGATAAGCAAATAAAAAGAACTTGACAAGACGAAATATTAATCTGAAAGGCAACGTGAGGTATCTTTGCAAAACTTTGTTACGAGCTCTTTGAGAAGTCTCGATAATTTCCTTTTGAAAGGTAATTTGTAAATGTTGCCTTGTCCCTTTATAGCGAACGTTTCTATGAGGTAATTGCATTTCAGTCACAGAGTGAAAAACTAAGTGTGTTTCGTAATCCATTTATGCATCACTCCCTCTCAAAATCTAATCATCCAAAATTGAAAACCACTATCAATTTTTTTTTGCTGATGTAATTCAAGGTGAATAGGGGTATGTCGTGGCGATAATCACGTTCAATCGAACAAATTTTATTTGTCGCTTTAGCGAAATCACGTCGGACATTTCTGTCAATGTAAAACGGAAATTAATTCCATTCGGTGATTTGTCGTGTTTCCCAAAGTTGGCGTGTAGTCGATCAAGCGGCAAAGATCCTATAAATAGACGAGGTGGGATGGAAAAATAGGTACACTTGAAACCTCTTTTGTTTAATTTCAATTAATTCTTCCCCCATTCCACATGTCAACTCGGGCTTTAATCGAATGTGCCCAAAATAAAACGTATCAGGCGGCCGGAGGTTAAATGAAAGCGGTTGATGTGAACTTTGCGAGCAAAAAAATTGCTCTTTATAAGAAGTCATTCCTAAAATTAAATTAAATTCTATTTTAATTTGACATTTATTGTTTTTTTTATGACGATAGGTATGTTACATTTATACAAATATTATAACAGTAGGAAGGTAGCAGGTTCTTTCAAATTAATGAATGAATCGATTTTGTAATTTTTAGACCATGCAATTACCCATTTTGCGATTGATGCATTTCTTTTCGGTACGACCTATTAATCTATTTTGTGTTTAATCCATTAATCAATCAACAATTGCAATGATTACTCCATGGTATGTCAACCAATCCCTTGTACAGTGTGTAACAATTAAATATTTAAAACAACAGCGGAAACCAAAACAAGAACTGCAAATAAACTGAGATCCAAAATGCTTGTTCAAAAGTTAAAAAAATGAACATCCTCTTCAATTTTTGTCTCAGCAAACACAAAGGAGGTTAGAATTAAGGATTCCGATTTCCTCAAAAATTACTTTCAAATTTTGGTGGATATCTGAAGATGGAAATAACGACATTCAGGCTATATTGCAAGCAGGATTGTGTGTTTTTATGATTCATGCATCTTTTTAGCGCATTTCCACAAAAATAAAAAAAAATGCGCTATTGTGGCCACTTTGTCCGTCTGTCCGCCCGTCCGTCCGTCCGCTAACTTTGCGACGCTATACTAGTTCTTTATCTTAAGAGCTATTGTTCTACTTTTTTCGCTATTTGGTTCGTTATGGTGTCGAGTCTTGTACCAAAGAAGGATTTTTTTCTGTACCGCTTACAAAAAAAGTTATTGTAAAAAAAACAAAAAACCGTTTTTTACATGTTCCATAATTTTACACTTTTGCCGTTTATTAACGATCCTAGAGGTCGTTTATAATTTTGCATTGCTATCTGTCGCCTGCCGTTGGTCTGTCCGTCTGTTCCTTTGTCTGTCTGTCCATCTATCTGTCCGTGTGAACGATAACTTTGTTTAGAAATGTTCGATCGCTTTTACATCTCCGTTAGTTATGAACTGAATTGCATGAAATTCAATATGGGCATAGCTTTAGCCATATAATACGCAATGCCAAAAGTTGAATCGAATCGATTCAAAATTCACAGTGCCCTTTTCGCATCTCGACCATTTATAAACCGAATTGCAAACTTTTTTACTTATAAAAGTATTTGAATGAAATTTGATACATAGGCACTTGGAATAAAGGAAAATCAAACGCCAATTTCAAAATTTGGTTTTGCGCATGCGCAGTGCCAACTTTTTTATTTATGGAAGAATTTAAACGAAATTTGATACATAGGCACTTGGGATAAAGGAAAATCTAGCGCCAGTTTCAAAATTTTATTTTGCGCATGCGCAGTGCCAACTTTTTTATCTATGGAACCATTTAAGTGAAATTTGATACTTAGGCGCTTGGAACAAAGGAAAATCTAACATTAGTTTTAAAATTTAGGTTTGCGCATGCGCAGTTCCAACTTTCTTATTTAGAAAAGCATTGAAATGAAATTCTTCTCATGAACTGAAATTGAAGTAGCACGTCAAAAATGGATTGCCCATGTGCAACGCTATCTTTCATATTTGTGGCCGGATTTTTACGATTTTAACAAAAGTTGCATCTTACAAATGGGAAATGAATGCAAGTGGAAATGCGCTTTATGTAAATCGTTTACGATTACTTTTTAACTTGTTTTATTTACAGTAACCTCAAATGTGTTAATTACATTCGTATTTTGCCATGCACCCATGAATATGTCTAACAGCGTATTATAATAACAACAATTGTGACATTTATTTAACGAGAAAGCGTGACAACTGATTTATAAAATAGATAACTCCGCTGTTTTCCCACAAAACCTTACGTTAATTATTATATGGAAATTTGGTCTTTTAGAACGGACGTATCATAATACAATCAGTCACATTCCTAACACCAAATGCATGTTAAAATGGAGGACTGCAGACCAGATCTTTCTCTTAAATCATTAGGACACGGCAGTTTTATACACTATATATTCAGTATATAAAAAAATGTGAGGAAGAGGGCGGCCCAAACAAGCAATTTTCCAAATAAATTAAGCGTCCCAAATACGAAAATGGTATGCTTATTTAAAATTTCCTTATGGAAATTCAAAATGTCGCATAGGTTCGACGTAAATTCAAAAAAACTAAAATTGGTCATTTCCTTGAATGTCTTATATCATCGAAAGTATAAGAGATATAAAAAAAAGTTTTATATAAAAGTGACTGTCTTTGATACGTTTAAATTAGAATTGATGTCAAAAAAAATTCAAGATGGCCACTTTTGAGGAACATTTACCAACTTCCTAAAGTTAAATGGGCGCCATATTAGATTTTTAGATTACTTGATAGATTTTAAAATTCTCTTTTCAACGAGCTATTTTAACATAAGATTGAAAATAAGATACCAGTTATATTAACGGTTTTTGTATTTTAATCAAGTAGTCTGTGACGAATAAAAAAAAAACAAAACAAAATCTATTCGAGGCAACAAAACAATGAAAATAATTACAACAGATGTTTAAAATACTGGCCATTATTAGTGAAACACACTTCAAGACAGTTTAGTTTAGGCAACGTGTTGCCATTGATGATTATTATTATTATTGTAGTGGTAGCTACTTCCACATTACTTTTGTTTTTTAATTAAGTACTTACTTTTATAATTTAATGTACTGTACATAATTCGTGAATTGTGACCTGAGCAGCCAGTTTGTTGGTAGGTAGCATAAACTAACCCTTTATTGGAGAATTTGTAAATAATGGTGAGCAGTTAAAGATCCATCGAAGATTACCGGTCCAATTACATGACTTCCCATTATGCCATAAAATACATTAATTTAAAAACATATTACTTGATTTCGGCGTGAAACTACAACATGTAGGTTTTCCTGTGACGAGTATTTAGTGTTCATTATGTCGATTTGAACACTTCGCAGTTAGAAAAATAAGATTCATCTGTCCATATACTCGGACTGGTAAAACTATTAGTAATTAGTTTCGATATTCTTGCGGATAAACCACCTACAAAATGTGACCTGGGACAATGCATCAATGGTAAAATAAAGCAAAGTGTCTTGAAATGTCTTTAACTGGATAATGGCATGACTTTTTTCGAGGGGATAGTTTGTAGTTATACCACCATTTGTAGGTATGTAAGTATGGATAATAAGTCAATAAGTGATGTTATAAAAATCAAATTTTTCTAGACCTAATGCTTATATAAAATTTTGGAGGGAGTTGTAATGCCCAAACCCCCCCTCTTATGAGGGGGTCCCTGATTTTTTTAAACATCTGATGTAATTATTTTCATTGTTTTGTTGCCTCGAATAGATTTTGTTTTGTTTTTTTTAATTCATCACAGCCTACTTAATTAAAATATAAAAACCGTTGATATAACTGGTATCTTATTTTCAATCTTATGTTATAATGGCTCGTTGAAAAGAGAATAAAAAAATCTATCAAGTAATCTAAAAATCCCATATGACGCCTATTTAACTTTAGGAAGTTGGTAAATGTTCCTCAAAAGTAGCCATCTTGAATTTTTTTTTGACATCAATTCTAAATTAAACGTATCAAAGACAGTAACTTCTATATAAAACTTTTTTTTATATCTCTTATACCTACTTTCGATAATATAAGACATTCAAGGAAATGACAAATTTTAGTTTTTTTGAATTTACATCGAACGTATGCGACATTTTGAATTTCCAAAAGGAAATTTTAAATAAGCGTCTAAAACTGCAAAACATTGCCCATTTAACCAATTCTCTATCCATAATAATAACAAAGTTACCCATGCAATCCCACCCGATCTGGGACACACTGTATATGCGAGAACACTGCGACATTATAGCAAAGTCTTATAAATCTATAACGCAGGGACACAGATCCGTGACTACAATTCTCTCTCTTATGATAAAGGAATTATGATCCGAGAGGTCTTAGATGCTACACCCTGTATATTCACCGACACAATGTGAACTCGAAAGATCAAACAATCAGATCATGCGATTTTCCCACTGGTACACGTATTACACTTTCATAATATAAGTTGCCTCGATAAACCCTAAAACCCCCACCACCCTCATCATCGAATGTGTGGAAGAAGCATTAGAATTGTGGGGTGTGGCAGCAGTAACACTTTCTTAGGGAAATAAAAATACGTAGATCTTCTTGTATCCAGACTACCATATAGAAATGCTACCACCACGAGAGCTTACAGGGAGGCTGTGGATGAGTCATCGCACAAAAACGCACATATCATGGCTTACGTGATACCTATTGAGACCAAAATTTATAGGTTTCCAGTTTGTAATTATTGATAATAGACTATAAAAATGTTTATACAAACAACTGCGTCTTTAAATTCGATTTAATGGCCTTTTTAGGTAATAGATGTAACAACTTACTTCGAATTGTGACATAATGAGAGATATTTAGGAGTTGCGACAGTATAATAATGTGCTGCTACGTAGTCATATCTATATTTCTTAATCCATAAAGAACGACATTTCGAAACAATCGACCATATTTAAAAAGAGTTGCCCTGCACAAGAACTGACAAGCGGCCAATACAATCTAAAAGGAGCTGACAATATACCAAAATTGTGTAATTTATTTTTGAAGAAGTAATAGTTTGAAATTCAATTTGCATGAAGTCACTTTCAGATATAGAACAAGGGGGTTTACAGGAAGAAAACTGTGCGACCCCTTTGTGATGAGCTGACTCCTGGCTCAATAAAATTGATCGGTCATTTTTCTCTAAGCGCAATAGTAAATAACACAGCAGATGGTTCAAACAATGGGGCGTCTTGGTGTTATAGAAATACCTACTGTTTCCCATTATTTGAAGCCAATTTAATCATCTTCGCTGTGTGCAAAGATCATACTAACTTTGCTGTGTGTAAGGTGTTAAGAGCACAGTTTGAAGTAAAATGTGTTCCGAAAGGGGGTTTTCTGAAAATATGACTAACAAGCGGATAACTTGAGGATTAAATTGTAGCGACTTTTCTAGAACGATATCAAGGCGCCATCAAGTCGATAAGAAATGAAAGTGGATGTGAGACATTCTTTCCATGAAATATGATATGCTAATTCAAGAATTTCCTAGGTTTTTTCTTTGCTATATAAGCAAATTGAATTGTGTTTAATTTAGGTCTTAATATCGATGCCGAAGTGATAAATAGTGAAATCTGCGCTCGTGTTATAAATCTGTTATAAATGTATTAATGATGTTAATATAATTGAACTGTAAGATATCAATTTATTTAAAAGCACCATTTTAATCAAGTTTCTCCGTAATAGTGATAGTTCCCGTGAACATTAATAATTAATTGTACATAAATAAACCATGTAATTAAATTTACGTTACATAAAAATAAGAAATTTTGTTTTTAATTGACAAATATTTGTAGACTCCAAAAAAGTTACAATAGTTTTACCCAAAATCGTCACGAAACCTTTATTTTCATGCCTACTTGATGACAGGAAATTTTAGTTTCCATGACACAGGCCACTACCAGACTCTTTTTCTTGCCACCTGTCTCTTTTCCGTCACAGTGCTAAAATAATGACTCGGCCCCAAAGGACCCTCGTACTTCAATATTTCCTCGCCAGTAATGTGCCAGTGAAAAGTAATAGTTATTTACACAAAAGTCTGAAAAATGATGCATTACTGGCGAGGGAATATTGCAGTACGAGGCCTCTTTGGGACCGAGTACTCTATTTTCCGAGTCAAGTTGTGCCATTTTAATGTCGAACTTTGTATTAAATTTTACCAGAAATCGTATTTTAATATAAAATTTCAATTTTCATATACAAAACTTTTGACGAATGTCAATCTGTCAGTGACGACATTAAGGAAAGTGACAAGTGCGGCCGGAAAAGTGACAGATGTGCCCCGTAAAGTAACAGGCGGCAGAAAATGTATTCTGGTCTGCCTTTGTCATGAAAACTAACATTTTCTGTCATAAAATAGGCATGAAATGAAGGTTTCATGACAATTTCGAGTAAGAGTCTCATTCGGGAAATCCTCTGCACCTTTTAACAATACGGTAACTTAGTATGTTTGTCCCTGAACGATACATTTGCGAAATGACAATTTCTGCTCCTCTCAATTCTCAAACAATACCGTTTAAACCTTTACCTAAATATGAATCAGTAATCCAACCTTTTTTAGAGCATTTTAATCACAGTTGGAAAAAGTGCATTATGTCGAAGGGAAAATATGTCGCTATTCTTAAACTCTAAAATCGTTAGGAACGATTCGATACTCAAGAATTTGGTGCGTTTTTGTCGTGTACTGGCGATTAGTGACTGGGTGAAAGGTAGAACATTTTTTAAGATGTTCTTGGACCTTGGGAAATTTACACACTTAAATTGTACACTTTAAAACCATTTATTTTACTTCCTAAATTCTGTCACAAATGGGCAACATCAACGTCCATATACAGTGTGAGTTTTATCCGATGTTTAATATGGAGACCTCGTACTCTGCATACAGAGTGTTTGAAAAGTTTTGTTCGAGAAAGTAGTTTTTGAAAAAGAAAATGTATTTAAACTGAAGACACCTGGTCGTAATTTTGGTACCTGAAGCTGGTAACAAACCCTAAAAGTACACCATTAAACTACAAAAATCAGCTGGCTTAGGAAATGTACAAATGAACTAATGAGAAAATGAGAGCCAAAACGCAAATTACTCCGAAGAAACGCAACAGTTTATACATAAATTACACAAACGCCTGTAATTATTACATAACTTGGTAAAAATACGATAGGTATATTGTACGTCAAAATGGTATTTTACACATGCCTATTATCTGTAGAAATCAGTCATGCTCTATAAATAATAGCAGGATATAATTACGCGAATTTTCGTATTACATAATGATTTTTTAATTACACCGCTAAAATATGCGAATAAAATTTCATCAATACCGCCTACTTGCCAGTTTTCACTTACAATCCGCTAATTGTAAATCGACTTCGGTAATGAATGGTTTCGCCTTAGGTAGGTACCTAATATAGCGATCTTGTAAAGTACCAAGACGCGCAATGTGTCCCGATCTCTTGATCTCCGGCCAATTTATTTTAATTAATTACAGGCAATAAATATTGGTTGGCTTCTGCGCGGTTTGATATATACGAGGGCGGTTTTTTATATTATCTACCTGACCGTGAAACTGAAACGCACAATAATTGTTTTTTGTTGCTAAGTAGGTTGAGTCATGGTCCAAGTTACGATCGGGTTAGTTACAGCTTAAAATATTAAAGCGAGATTACCATGGTAAAAATTATAAAGTAAATTAACCGTTTCAAAGATTTTGTGTAAGCCCAAATCTATCATGACTGAAGAATCGGGAACCTCGTTCAATCCAAATTCCATTGCACGTCTTCGATATACTCGAGGGGGGGGGGGGCGCAATGCTTAAGGATATCGATATCGCCGAAACTGCTAGTCGTATTGATGCATGCAAAAGTAAGTGCCTCCAATGAAGGTAGGAACTAGTACTGCACACTGCACTAGGGAGTATGGATCTAGGTACCAGGCAATAATGCACAGAGGGAAGGGGGAGGGGCTATTTTCAAAAAAGATTCAGTTCCTACGTTAGTGATTCCCATGAGCATTTGAACTTCACAGACTTTTTGAGATCCACGGTAAGTATTGTAAATATTGCGACCAAATGTAGGGAAAGTTTTAAATTCTACTAACCTTTGCCAGCCTCATAGCTGTAAGCCAACACGTCCGCGCCCTTTCGGAATCGCAGGCGAGGCACCTGATTCCGGGGCTCTCGTCTTCGGTGTCCACTCCGGATGGTCTCAAACACAAACCCCACTCGGTAGGTGCGCGAAATTGATTTTTTGCGTTCCGTGTTGTGTAAACGTGACAGTCGGACAATCTCGCTAGCACTTTTAAACCGCTGATATCTGCCTCTGAGATCTGAAACAATTATTTTAATATGTTAATTACATTAAACCAAATTATAAGGATTTTTATTAATAGCCCTAGTGCACGATACACCATTTTAGAAATAAGTTTTTATCCGCATTTCGCGTTAAATATTCTGTGTTCTAGGTCTGGAGATCCTTTTTTTCATAGAACGCCCGATGCGTTTCATTACACTCTGTATACATAAAGCTACCATAATCCATAAAGACATAATCAAAAGTTAAGAGCACAATAGTGTGTAATCAAAGAAGGAACGGAACTGCTTTAGAAACAATGAACAAATAATGGGGGGGGGGGGGGATACTCTCGAGTTTCCGGTTCATATGGCTGTTGCGTTGTCGACATTTCTTTTTTTATATTCGGTGAATATTTTGAATTACTGTACAAGTTATTGAAACTTCCGCTTGACAGGAATTGGAAGCAACTTCTGTTTTTCAAATGCAATGTGTAGGTTTTTTTTAAAAAGAGTATTCAATTTGATGAAAAACAACATAACATATGCATATGGTTTGTATACAACAAAATGGAGAAATTCGTGCTACATGTAGCATACCGTGTGCTGTCAGGATGCGCGGTGTCTGTTGTGTTACACGGAGAGATCATGTCGCGCAAAAGTAAATCTTCAAAACGGCACATTGGGCAAGTTAATGTCGGTTTTTTTTAAACACAACAGACATGGCGCATCCTGCCATAGCACCCGGAATGCTAGATTTCATTTTTGGTTTTTCACCAAATTTATTGCTCTGTTCAAAGATCTTAAAAAACACAGGTATTGCATTTAAAAAACGAAAGTTGCATTGACTTTCGGTTTAACCGGAAATTTCAATACACCATAGGATACATCGTTATGTCGCATAGCGTTTACGCATTAAAAAATAATGGTTCCGCACAGACGACACGTCGTATTAAAAAATTAACAACGCCACCTTAAAGGGTGCTAAAAGTTTCCGTGGGGAAGTGTAATTGGTTTTGCTCGGGATCAAATATTAACGTAAGAAAAAAATAGTTTATTAAATAATTTTTCAGATTTCTAAACGCTATCTTCGTACACTTCTGATTGCGCAACTTTTCACCAATTTAACTACATTTCTAAATCTCTTCGTTTAAGTTTAGATAATACCCATAGTGGTCCTCCTCATCTCGGACACTGTATAATTATTATCTTTTTAAAGTAATAACTGCAAACTATCGAAGATGCGATCTTTTGTAAGACGTCACGTCAGTACTACTTTCTAGCTTTCGATTTCTCATTGTTTCAAATTCGAAATCGTGTTGAGCAGTTTGGTCGTCGAAATGGGAATATCGTTTATTGTTATTGATCATTTGTCATCAACTTGGGTTTCATCTTACGAAATAAAAACTAAGAGAAAAGCGACAACTCTCGGCAATTGAGAGAATTAAGTATTGTGTTAGGATGCGGGTGGCAATTGCTTTTGTTTGTAGAATGTATTAAAAGGCTTTCTTTCGTTTTAATCTCTTTTATTACAGTCGACCCATATTCTACCGTTCCGTGCTCGGAAAAAAACACTCAAAGTACGGCAGCGTTTTATCTCTAATCATAATTGTTGTAATCCACATTATATGTGCAGTTTGAGTGCATTGTATGATAAACCTTAACTTCTCCGATATATTATTAGCATAGAGCGTAATAATTAGAAAATGCGTATACCGGTACTTTCCTACTTTCCCATAAGTGGTAGATATCTTACTATTAAACGTGAGTTTTACCGCTTTTTCTAATGGAAAAATCGATAGCCACCTTGCAATTATGCATATTTCGCTCTTGCTTTGGCGTAGAAAGCTTCCCATAATTTTTTGCAGGCCTACGGGTAAAAATAATATGTGCATAATCCTGTTTTGGCTTGATTCGTAGATAAAAGGCGTTTCGTTCTTTCGCACTCAAAACTGCGGCGTGTGTCAAATTCGGAACGCGTATGAAGAGAAACGAGCGACCGGAACATCATTCCAAATGCTTTAAGTAAATATTCGCTTTTGTCGCCGCATTTGTAGGAGTTTATTTTCAGAGTTTGTGCAAACAGTCGTTAATGCCTATCAGATAAAATGGTGTGAAAATTATTATGTCGGTTCTTTATGGTCCCGGCTTTTGCAAAAACGCAATATCGAGGTTGGTTCCTTTTTCTTGCTGTCACCATACCACCAAACCAAATAATAAGTAAACAAAGAAAAGCAAAATATGGTAATGTTTAGTTTTTGTCGATTGAAATAAAAGTTTTCCCTTTCCATTGGTAAAGCGGTATCGGCCTACTTAAAAAAAATAAAGACCAAAATTATAATAAAATAAAATTTTTACTTCAACAATCTCGTCAGCAACCATAACACATAGAAAGATGGAAATAGTGGTTCCTTATTATAAGGGCTAGGTACAAGGTCGATTAAATTTGACAACTTGTGCGTTTTTTATGCTGATTACATTGGTGAAAGCAGAAAAACAATTGACAATCACATTCTCAAAATATCGACAAAACCGCACTTTTTCTAATGGAACACCCTGTATACGATATCATCACGAGGTATAGAATAATTTTGCCAAAAAAAGTTGTCACATGTCATATTGTTCTAAAGTCAAAAATAAGGAAGCTATTGTCAATTATTAAATTTCATCAACGTGGCTTTGATACAGAAATATGAATTCGTTCTCATAAAATAAAATAAGGTATTCAAAGAGTTGTCAAGTGGTTTAGTAACAGTATAATTTTCAGCTCTGCACATAACTCTGAGACATAACAAAATGCCACTTACCCATTTAAAAAATTTTATATAAAATGTTACATCATTCACTAGAAAAAGGTGTGTTTTCGTCGATATTTTTAGAATGCGATTGTCAATTGTTTTTCTGTTTTCACCATTGTAATGTAAACTATATGTATATGGTTAAGCATCTATAAAAATAACTGATTTTTTTAAATAGAACACCCTGTATATTTTTAGTTGTTTCGATGTCATTTTTTAACCTCTACATTCAAACCGGTGGCGGATCCAAGGGGGGGTCATGACCCCCTCTTAAATATTGCCCATCTAAAAATCTAATGACCGTTTGCACCAACAAATTTAAGTTGAACTTAGCTTAAGTATAGCTTAAAATCCATGGCAACAATTGTCTCCAATAATCCTGCCATGGATTTTAAGTGATGCTTAAGCTAACTAAGCTCTGCTTAAATTTGTTGGTGCAAACGGCCATAAGACTCTAAGATGATTATCGATTAAAAACTATTGTTTGATTTATTTATTCTCGAAATTTCTGATTTTTATTAAAATTATGTATAATTAAACAGCCGATAACAAATATTTTGTGGGGCGATGTGTGTAATCCACGCAGGCGGCCGACTTAAAGCCTAAAGGGCGGCGACAACTTAAGGAAGATTTTTCTGCTGAATTTGTAATATAAATATATTGTTCTTATATGCAGTAAAAATGTCTTTTTAATATTCTGATGTGCACACCACTCCCCACCCAGTCACAAAAATCACTCCATGACCCCCCCCAAAATCGAAGTCTGGATCCGCCTCTGATTCAAACCTATTCACTTTTTACTTTGTGTCAATGTTGCCCTTATTAATTTTTTTTTCGAATAATTCTCCGTAAGCAAGTCTCACTTTTATGACGCGTACAGATCGTTCCAAAAGTACCAGATGATTGCCCAGAAACCAATTTTGGTACGAATGCAAATATGCTGTCTCACCCACTGAACTGTTCACAGCTGTTTTACAATTTATTCGAGTACAAAAAGACGGATTGGCGTTTGTGATCATAATACAAACGCAATGCAACGACATTATACAGGCAAAATGATAATCGGAAAATTAATTCCATGTAAAAAAACACATGCCTAATAGCATTTTAATACACAAAATCAAATCAAATCAATTTTATTCTCCATTGTAAAAAAGCTTATAAAAACATTTATACTTAACTAACTCTAGGAGAAAATGGTGGGAGAAATTACTCCACCACCGACTTACAAATACTACTCATAAAGAACAGGTATGTGCCGCTTTCTGCAAAAACTATCAAGAATTTAACATGTGTCCAGTTTGACCATGCAACGAATGATAAATGTAATTATAAAACACATTTATTAACATACAAGATCACCAACGATTTAAAGTGTGCCCAGTACGCTTTCGTTATCAAAAATAAATCCACTCTTCTAACATCTAACATTTGTGACCGAAAGTGCCACAAATTAATTATCTACTGCAAGTGTACTCCCTATTTTAAACTTAAATTAACCTTTTTAATCAATCTTATTTCACTACGAAATAGGGAATACACTTACAGCAAATAATTAATTTGCGACACTTATTTACTTTCAGGCATTCTTTTGTTTTTAGCGCATTTTCCAATTCAATTATGACCACTGCATCCGTCCGTCCGTCTGAGGCCTTAACTATTCCTACAGTTTTCAAGATATTTAGTTCGTCCTTTTGCATTCGGTAGCTTATAGCTCTGGCACCTCAACCAAGAAAAATCTTGACGTTCACGCAAACTGCGCAATGTCATCTTTCTTATTTATGGAGATATATTTTGGAAATTTAAACCAGAGATTCTTCTACTAAAGACAGGCATATCGTATATTGTAACTATCAGATGTGCATGAAACGAGCCGGATAGCTCTTAAAAAAGTACTAAAATCTGCATTTTCTTTCAATTCTTCCCCAAGACGATATACACTAAGATAACAAACATGATGCGAAATGATTTTCACGAAATTGTTGCAATTTTTCTAAATCAGAAACAAAAAAAAAGTAATCTCTATTCTTTATATGCAGCCAAAAAAATTTTAAAAATGCACTTTTTCACAATATTCTCGCTTTTTTTGCCAAACCTCTCAGATTTTGACGAAAATAAATCGTTATTGAGTTAGTAATGTCGTATTCTTGGGGACATATTGATGACATTTTTTTGAATTTTCTGAGTTTTGAAAATTTGTGAATGTTTGATTGTTTAACGTTTGGAT